GCCATCTTGGCTGGCAGTTAATTTGCATATCGTCCTGATTAGCCAATGGGAAGGGTAGCAGTCGTACACCAATTACCATGTTTCTCTTTTATTAGATAGGATAATGCATATATGTGCGTGCTTTTCTTCATGAAATGAAATAAAATAGAATAGGAAATTTCAGACTCCATTGCACATAGTAAAGATAATTATTTACTGAAACTTTCATTCTAATTACCCTATATAATAAAAGTCTAATATGCAAATCGACTGAACTTTGGAATGACTGGTCGCTATGATGTGTACTGACCACCAGGGGGCAGACGCTCAACGCAGGAGCTGCCTCCAGCCCGCAGGCCCCAGGCCAGCCAAGGTGGGTGCCATGGTCCCCCCACCATCGCTTCTCTGGTCACCCCACAGATCAGCCCTGATTGCCAGCCAGGCCTAGGGACCCTGCCCATGCATGAATTTCGTGCACTGGGCCTCTAGTATATGTATATTTAAACACATTCTACTATACATTCTGGATCCATCTACACATAATATGTAAAATGCCATATATTGTATTATATATTATATAAGACATCCTATTTTATGTTTGCTGTATAACATATTATATGTGTCTTATATAATATGTATTACATATATAGGGTGGGTTATTATGTAAATATTTATATAATGGGTTATATAAACTATATTTATTATCATGGCTTCTTTTATGTGACTTCCCTAGAAGTAGATCTTGAGGCTGAGATTTGCGTGCAGATTTCTTGGGGAGAGCTCTGAGGAACAACACCTGTTGTGTGGGAGGTGTAAGGGAAGCAAGAGTTGGCAGAGGGAAAGGTTGAGCTGTGATGCAGTCATGACAGAGGCCTCAGACGATCCTCTGGGGAGCTCTGGAGCTGAGAGGACACTCTAGAGTTACCCCCAATGGAGTTGAGGTAGCCATGCTTCTGAATTCCTGCATCAGTCCATCATTGACCACAGACTGTTCCCTGGGAGGAAGAACAATCTTGGGGAAGGCAAATTCGTGCTACAGAGGGCAATTCCCAGTACGGGACAGCACTGTGAGGCTTCAACAACAGCTGTTCCAGGAAGCTGAGGGATAGATGGGAAGGCCTGAGGAGAGGGAGGTGAGGATCTGGATGGAGCACACAGTCTACCCTTTGTACTACTCAGATTCACTTGCTTCTTAGAGTAAGTTCACCCCATCTGAGAACAGCATTTCCAGGATTGTAATTGACCTTGTTTTCTGGGAGAAACCTGAAAGAGCATGGTTGGTGGGATGAAATACAGCCTCCACTGCCACAGTTGATAAATGCAGCATAAATAAATGATATGCATTGTCTTCTTCTATACATTCTAAATTTCCCTCACCCTCAGATGGAACCTCTCTTGGTCTTGGTGGCTTACCTGGTGCATGATCCATTCCCTCATCCTTGAGAGATCTCTCAACCCTTGGTCCCCATGCTCTCTTCAGGCTGTGGCTGCTATTTTTGTCCCTTTATCATCAAAGTTAAGCAAAGAATACCAACAGATACCCAAGCAGATCACCTAGGTTCCCCCGTGCCCCCACTGTAACACCAGCCCTGCCCCTTCTGATGATCAGGGTCATGTACCCCTGCCCAGATAGTGATTCCTCTTCATGTCCATTGGCATGCAAAACCTGAAGTGTCCAGGTAACACTCAAAACTTAGAATGTAATGGGATTCTTGCTGTGTCTCCTGGTAGTAGTGTCCCCCCTGGAGAACCAGGACCTCTAACCTTGCAGAGCTCTGAGGAAACAGGAGACACACATTCCAAAAGTGGATCACTGAGATTGATGGTAAGCTGGGCCACTCTACTTTCACCTCTGGGTTCCCAGACCCATGTATTTTACCTATTAGAAACACAGCACAAACAATGGTCATTGATTTAGGGTGTACACTGGGTTTTGAAGGATGGTGCCCCATTCGTGCACAGTTTCACCTCCAAGCTGGGGTCTTAGCTGTGGCTGCAAGAAGTTGTTCCATAACAATGAGGCCAGCAACTTCTGGGTACTGTGGTATATAGGTCATCTGTTGAGTCCAAGGTCATGGGCCCACTTTTGCACCTCCTTTCATGATTGATGTAATGTTTTGTGGGATCCCATACTGTGTAAGCCCTTGAACAGTGATGCTATCTCAGGTCCTTCAGTCAGGAAAGGCAAACCCATACATAGAATATTCCAGTTAAAAGTAATCATTATTCTTTCCAGGGTGGAAGACCACAAAGTAGCTGGTTGGTCTTCTTGAGTGATGCTGCCATGTCAGGGATTCCATATTGGTCTCTGTTGCTGGCAGGTTGAATATTCTGCACTAATTCTGTAGGCCCTCACATATAGCTTCTATCTCTGTTCTTCTTGCCACTTCGTACATGTGCTCAGTACTGGGGCGACTGATTCAGAGGCTGGCTGACATCATCTGGCTGACTCATTCTGTCTACCTGATTGCTTAGTGCCACTTCTGTGGCGGATGCTGTCTGGTGGGTGTGAACATACAATACAGAGATCTTTTCTCCTCTTTCCACTTCATCTCCACTCCCATATGTCCACCCACATTTTTGTGTCCCAGACCTCCTTGTTCTAATGTTTCAATATATTTCTTTCAAAGCCTCTGACAAATCAGCCAAGCCATTCACCACCAGTGAATAAATATATATTCTAATCTTTGGCCACTTCTTTCCCCCAAAAAAGTAGATGGCCAAGGGTACAGCTCACAGCTTTGCCCATTGGGAGCTCTGTCACTGTTTTCAAGACCGCTCTGAATGGGACTATGGTGCAGCCACTGTCCATTTTTGTCTTCCACCCACATACCAAGGCAATCTATTTGTGAAGCAAGCTCAGGCTTTTTCTTCCTTTATCCACTGGTTGGATAAAGGAGTCCCCTTAGTGAGGTGAGGGAGGCAGAAGCAATAAGGTGGATGACATGGGCATCTGGGTTACCTGCTCAGGCAGCTTGCCTGGTATCCTGGCTGCTGGACCCATCTGACTGTATTACTTGGCAGGCCTGGCAAGATCTAGCTTATAATGGACACTTCTGGGTACACAGTTACTTGGTACCCCCTGGTCAAGTAACTGTGTATCGGGGCCCAATATTACACCAAGATTTGTTTCTCAAGAGGAGTGTAATTCTATGCTGCAGATGGCATGGCCTTGCTCCAGAGCCCCAGGGGCCTCCCACTCGAGCTTCTCTTAAGCTTCACATTGTATCTTTTTCCACTGTTGACACCTCCGGTGTATTAGGATCTGATGGATCGAATGGCCTGAGTGGCAGGACTGCTTGCATCACAGCCCGGAGCTGCTGCCGAGCACTTGGAGTCAACACAGCCTGTCGGGGCTATCTGTCCTCCACCCCTGACAAATGATGGTTTCACATTGCCTGCTAGCTGCCGGGTGACTCAGCTCCAGAATAGCATTAGAGTCTTTGTCATTTGACGTCTCTGGCCCACTGTTTTAGGTTGGGTTCTCTGGAAACCGGTTTGGAAGCAGAATTTTGCATGTGGGAAGCTCATTGCAGAGTGCCTTTGGGATCAACACGTACCTGTAAGGAGGACAGGGTTGGGCAGACAGAGAAGTTGGTCCACAATGTGGTTGTATCAGAGGCCTAAGCTGGTCCTAGGGGGAGCTCTCGGGCTGGGAATAGTCCTTCAGAGTCAGCCTATATTGAGGCAAACAGGCGGCCTTTGTCCTCACTGAGACCAAATATAAGCCACCCGCTGCCCGAAGTAGGTATAACCTTGGCTAAGGCAGTTCCCTGTAACAAAGACAGTTCCCAGTTGGACACAGCCATAAACTGTCCACAACTGATATTCAGGGGGCATTGGCCCTGAAGAGAAGATCTGAGCAGAGTACCCACTATACTTATGGGGGGGGGGAAGTTTAAAAATAGTGATCTAGTTTGCACTTGTCATCATTTTATTTTTAAAAATGCACATATCTAAAAGAAGATTCTCTTCCAGCACTTGTGAGGGGTCATTGTCAGTAATGGAGGATGAGAGAGAGAGAGAGAAAGGAGAGGAGAGGAGAGGAGAGGAGAGGAGAGGAGAGAGAGGAAATATCTTTGGGCATGTCATTCAAGGCACAAGGGCCTGTTGCATTGTGTGTATGTGTCAGAGACCCTGATTGTGTGCATGTCGATGACCCCAGGGGTGACTTTTCCCCTCGTCTCATGTCTGTAAAAAATTGGGGATAAGCTTCTGTCTGTGGAGAAGCTTATCAGGTAGGAAATCCTGGGCCTGGGGGAAGAGGCCACTGGAAACCTAGCCCTGCTGGGGATGGGCATAGGGACAGTGACATAGCAGTTCATGATGTGCCTACTGCTGCTCTACCCCTCTTCCCTCCTATGGTTTCCACTCATCCTCAGTTGATTCTCCCCCACCCCCACTGTTGCAGTCTCCAGCTTCTGTGGAACCACCACCAGCATGCACCCCTCAATCTGATCCTCCTTTTCTGATACCTGTGCCCCACCCATGGCTGTTCTGTCCTTCATGGCACGCAGCCACACGTGGTGAATGCAAACCTCCTTGGGAAAGGGCCAGAGAACAGAGAGATGCTTCAGGCTGTACAAGCAGATACAGACACTGAGCCATACCCAGGCACACTTCATAGATGTGTACTCTCTAAGGTTCTCTGCCATTATAAACTCTATGCAATTTCCAAGTATGTTACAGTTTACAAAGCACTCCTCATTTTTCGGAGCTTTCCAAAAACATTTATGATAGCAGTGTTGCAAGCAGACCATATTTGAAGAAATATCTGCTCTCTGGGGTTTAAGGACTTTTTAAAAAAATTGCAGTGTTCTTTGACATTTACACACCTCCATGAGGAATACTTTATTGTTCACAAAGCACTGTTTGAGTTTTCAAAGTATTTCAACCATCATAACAATCACTGTATGGTTTCTCTAGAGACGCTGCAGGGGCAAAGGGGTCAAAGGACTGGCCTGGGTTTTGTCTTCCTGAGATTTGAGCATTGATGGATGTGTTCTGCTTTTCCTCTACAGGGCGAAATACTTCAAAGGGAAAAAGCTCCATGGAGAAATTGACATTAAAGTAGAACAGGTTAGTTGCGACAGGTGGACCTGGGGATCAACTGTACGGATTGCAAACTGAGTGGTCATTTTTGTGTGATGTGAATGAATCACTGATTTTTTTTCCCTTTCCAGGCTGAATTCTCTGACCTCAATCTCGTGGCTCACGCCAATGGTGGGTTCTCTGTGGACATGGAAGTTCTTCGGAATGGGGTGAAGGTTATGAGGTGAGTACAAGAAGGGTACCTTGGTGTTATGGGAGAGGTATAAGGACTCCCTTAGATATGAGGAAGAATGTTCACCTCTGCACCCATTCTTCTGTGAGCAAGAACTTAGGCACATTACAATAGACAAGCTATGGAAACAACTTAAGTGTCCATCAATGGACAAATGGATAAAGAAGATGTGAGATACACACACACACACACACACACACACACACACACACACACACACCACACCACACCACACACCACACATGCACAGGAATATTATTCAGCCATGAGAGAGAAGAAAATCCTGCCATTTGTGACCACGTATATGGACCTTGAGGACATTATATTAAGTGAAATAAATCAGAGAGAGAAAGGCAAGTACCATATTATATCACTTACATGTGAAATCTAAAAGAGCCAACCTCATAAAAATAGAGAGTAAAATGATGATTACTAGTGGCTGGGGACTGGGACATAAGAGAGATGTTGGTTAATGGTACGAACTTGCAACTGGTAGATAAGTCCTGGAGATCTAATGTACAGTAAAGTGATTATAGGCAACAATATTGTATCATAATCATCAAACATTCTAAGAAACTAGATCTCAATTATTCCACCACAAAAATGAAAGGATAATTATGTGACACAATAGATGTGATAACTATCACTGCAATGACAATCACATTACAATATATAAATGTATCAAATTAACACATCAGTTGTACACCTTAAATTTACACAATGCGCCGAAACCGGTTTGGCTCAGTGGATAGAGCGTTGGCCTGTGGACTGAAAGGTCCCAGGTTCGATTCCGGTCAAGGGCATGTACCTTGGTTGTGGGCACATCCCCGGTGGGAGATGTGCAGGAGGCAGCTGATCGATGTTTCTCTCTCATCAATGTTTCTAACTCTCTGTCTCTCTCCCTTCCTCTCTGTAAAAACTCAATAAAATATATTTTTTAAAAAAATTTACACAATGCTATCTGCCAAATATATTTCCATTAAAAAAAACTTAAGCACAGAATGTGGGAGCTAGCTTCTCTTCTGAAGAAGAGTCAAGGATCCCAGCAGACCACAAAGCAACTTTTCAATTATTGATTCAAAAATTATTTCTTGAGTATCCACTGTATACCAGGTGCTGCTCTCAGCATTTTACATTCAACAGACATTTATTGAGCACCCTTTGTGCCCAAGCACTGTTCTACATGCTGAGCACCTGGCAGTGAACAAAACAGACTCCCCAAAGACCAAAAACCCCACAAAACCTCTCTGCCCTCATGAAGCTTACATTCTACTGAGAGATACACACAATAAACAGATTACTTTTAAAATGTAAAAGTGCTAAGGAAAATATATAGCAGCAAAGGGATTGTTGGCTAGTGGAGTGACGAGGTCTTTTCCGCATCTGCAAGGGTTCAAGGAATCTGGAGAAGGCCTGTGCATAAATTAAGACTAGAGAAGAAATATGAATTTGGAAGGCATTTCGGGGTGCCAGACAGAAACTTAGTTCTAGTGACTAAACTCTCCGAATCTCCGGACCCAGAGCTTTTTATTCTCACATTTTGCCCTATAGCAAAGCAGATACACATATCAAAGGTAAGATTTGGTAAACAATAAAGTATTATCAGGTTGGGGAACTGTCCTCAGCTGTCTGTCAGCAGGCAATAACATGCAGATCTTCAGCCCTGCTGAAGGTGTCCATCAGCCTTCTGGTGAACTTCTTGCATAATTATAACCTGCTAGAATTTGCTTCCAGCAGTGGAGGAGTCTGAAATTTGGATAAGGTGGACCACTAGTTTAAGAGACATTTGAGGAAGACCTAAAGGGGGTGAAGGAGAGCTACATGCAGGTAAAGGGTGTCCCAAAATTCACGCAAAAAGTAATTTTGATAGAAAACACAGATTTATAATTAAAAATTGAAAATTTTTTATTGATTCATAAAACATACAGAATAGGGTTAAGTATGGAATAGCATTTCAGGTAAATGGCCTCCACAGCTTTGCTGGCACGTACACACTCTTTTGTTATTGCCTGAGCAGCTGCATTTTTGAAGAAGAATGGTCCGAGGATGCCTCCAGCCCAAAATCTGCACCAAACAGTGACATGCTGTGGATGCATTTTTTTCTCAACAATCACGCGTGGATTTTCTGAACCGCAAATGCGACAATTTTGTCAATTAACCAAGCCATCAAGATGAAAATGAACCTCATTGAAATTCAGCCACATTTATGCAAAACGGTCACGGAAAATTTCAACAAAGCGTGCGTATGTGCCAGCAAAGCTGTGGAGGTCATTTACCCGATACACTATTCCATACATACCCCTATACTGTATACTTTGTGAATCAATAAAAGATTTACAATTTTTAATCATAAACCTGTGTTTTCTATCAAAATTACTTCTTGCGTGAATTTTGGGACACCCTTTATCTAGGGAGAAAATGTTTCAGGCAGAGTGAACACCTGTGTAAAGGCTGGACTTTATTCTGGGCAGCATCCTTTGAGAACAGCTAGTAGTCGGAGACATTGTGACCCAGGGGGCTGTCAGAGCTGAGTAGGTAAGCTGGAAGCTGACCCGGTGAGGAGAGGAGCCAGTAGGAAAGGCTTCAAGGGGTCACCAGATGAGGAAAGGGTGCTTGTGGGGGAAGAACAGCTTGCACATGTGTGCTGAGGTGAGAAGCCACTTCACAATTGTTAGGAGCTGTGGACATATGGAAACTTGCTCTTTGTTGTAAGGGTGGTGGGAAGCTTCTGGGGGGGGGGGGAATCCTCAACACTCCTACCTCTCTACCCCAGGTCTCTGAAGCCGGACTTTGTGCTGATTCGTCAGCATGCCTTCAGCATGGCAAGGAATGGAGACCACCGCAGTTTGGTCATTGGGCTGCAGTATGCTGGAATCCCCAGTGTTAACTCTTTGCATTCTGTCTACAACTTCTGTGACAAGCCCTGGGTGGTAAGTGACAAGAAGGGTGTTATTGGCAGAGGGACTATCTCATGAATGCATTCGGGAGCTCAAAATCACTGTGATTTGGGGGGAACTGAGGGAGTTTAGAAGTTTGGAACCTCCAGCTTGGAGACTCCCTCCAGGCGAAAGACTTGCTTGACTTGTCTTTCTTGACTCTCATAGTTTGCCCAGATGGTTCGACTGCACAAGAAACTGGGGACAGAGGAATTCCCTCTAATCGATCAGACCTTCTACCCCAATCACAAAGAGATGGTGAGTCTGGGGGAAGTAGAGGGGGCAAGAGGGGAAAGCATCATGCGTACTACAATAGTTGCCAATGGGTGTGTACCAATGGTACACTATCAGAGAGTGGCATGTGCTGTGGAGAGTGAAATTGCTTTGGGAAAGGTTTATTAATACAGTGAATTTACTTATGTGGTTACAAGTGTGATTTGTGTCATTGATCCTGTAACTATAGTATCTATTCTCACCAGTACTAAAAATAGATTTCTAGCCAAACCGGTTTGGCTCAGTAGATAGAGCATTGGCCTGCAGACTGAAGGGTCCCAGGTTCGATTCTGGTCAAGGGCATGTACCTTGGTTGTGGGCACATTCCCAGTAGGAGGTGTGCAGGAGGCAGCTGATGGATCTTTCTCTCTCATCGATGTTTCTAATTCTCTATCCCTCTCCCTTCCTCTCTGTAAAAAAACAATAAAATATATAAAAAAAATAGATTTCTAATATAAACTGACAGAACTAATATAATGAATCAGATTATATTACATATAGAAATTAAGTAATTGTTTCTAACATTATCAAATATTCCTCTTGATATAAATGTTACCAATATTTCAAATTAGGATTGGCAATAAAAATTATCAGTAGTTGCCCTAACCGGTTTGGCTCAGTGGATAGAGCATCAGCCTGTGGACTGAAGGGTCCCGGGTTCAATTCCGGTCAAGGGCATGTACCTTGGTTACGGGCACATCCCCAGTAGGAGGTGTGCAGGAGGTAGCTGATTGATGTTTTTCTCTCATCAATGTTTCTAACTCTCTATCCCTCTCTTTTCCTCTCTGTAAAACATCAATAAAATATTAAAAAAATAATGAAATGAAACAAAAAAAATTTATTTGTATATGAAAGGCAAATAATAATTATAACAAAATAAAAGAAAAATTTTACACCTGTGAAA